ACCCCCAGGTCACCTCTCTGGTGGCTCTCCATCCTCCCCCAGCACTGCATCTCCCTGCCTCAGGCGCTGGGCTGGAAATGTAGGTTAGGGGCAGGTTCAGGGGCACCAGGCCAGGTGCTCCCCCTGCATCCTCCTTGGCATCTCCCTGCCACACTCAGGCCCTGCCACATGGACATCTGGGCACTGAGAGCTGTGTCCGGGTGGTTTATCTTTTGCAGGCAACCAGGGTGATCTGGGAGATTCTGCAGATGTTCCGGTTCACGGAGTCATTGACAGAGTACTCCCCCCATCTCCTCGTGGCTCTGCTCTTCCAAGTTCTCATCAGCACAGAGCAGACGCCAGAGGAGGTCGACACCTTCTGGAGGGGATGCTGGCAGCAACACGATCTTCCCACTGAGCCCAACAGGTGCTCCATCCCAGTCCTCCCCTGCCTTCTGTGCCCTTGGGGCTGCTCAGGGCTCCCAGCATGACCCGGGCTTTGCTCTGCACACAGGTTTGCAGTGCTGACCGTGAAGGCTCTGCTTTGCCACCTGGAGTGTGAGGAAGTTGTGGTTTCAATGGAACGCAAGCGCGGCTGGGACACGCTCCTCAGCCCTGACACCCACCACTACGCAGTGGGTCTGCTGGCCAGGTGAGACCCCCTTGTCCCTGCTGCCCCTGTCATTTCTGCCTGTGCATGGGGCACCCCACACAGTGGTTGTGGGCCAGAGGGCCTTGTCACTGAGGGATGGCTGAGCAGAGTGGCAAAGGCTGGGAGAGGCGGGGGCACAGGAGGAGCTGCCTCCCAGGGTGCCCTTGTCCTGGGGAAAAACCAGCCCTCTGTGAGTCCATCCCAGGAGAGGTTGGCCCACCAGGCTCAGGGTCAATGGGTGCCTTTTTCCCTCTGGCAGGGAGATGCACGGTGTCTCCAGCCCCTTGTGTTCCCGCATCACACTCCACCTGCTGGAGCTGCTGAGCAGGGAGGAGCCCCACTTGGAGCTCCTCACCATGGCATTCCTTGTGGAGGTGAGCCTGATGGCGAGCGCTGCCTGGCCGAGCTGCCTTCACCTCTCTGCCCTCTTGGAGGGCCCAGCCAGCCCTGTGTGGGTCTGGGCTCCTGCCAGCTGGGCACCCCGTCACTGCTCCATGCCTTTCAGGTCCTGGACGGGCTGGACATGAGTGACTGGGGAGGCAGCATTCTGCAGAGCCTTTCAAGGCACCTCAGGAGCGAGTGCCCAGAGAGGCGTCGCCTGGCGCTCCGAGGCGTCCTGGTGCTCAGCCAGGATCCCGTGATGGTGAGAAGGGGCAGTTGGCTGAAGCTGTGCTGGAATCCTGGGGCTGGGGAACGCAGTCACTTGGGCTTGGCTGGGCTTTGGGAGCTGTGGCAGCTGCTGCCAGCTCTGCTGCCTCCCTGTTCAGCTGCCCCAGTCCCTCAGGAAAGGCCTTTGGCCTCCGGGCCCCGCGGCAGCACGAGGGGCTGCCCCACCAGAGAGGGGTAGGGGCTGCAGCCATTCATGGATTCACAGCACAGCACTGCGTTCCTCACAGGCTGATGGTGTGCAGAGCCTGACACAGAGCCTCCTGGAGCTACTGTGGGATGCAGACGGAGAGCTGACCTGGATGGTCCTCTCTGTATTCATCAATGAAGTCCAGGACAGAGGCATCCCAATCTCCACCCCCACTGCCCTGGATCTGGCTGAGGCACTCCAGACACTCTTTGGCTACGTAAGGCTCTGTGCCCCCCACCCCAGGCGCTGGGTGCTGCCAGGAAACTGTAGCCTGTGGATTTGCAGGCCTGTGCCCCAGTGGGCCTGGAGCAGCCGGTGCTGAGGTCTTTTCCTCTTCCTTTCCATCAGGACAACATCCACGTGCAGCTGCTCTCCATTCACCTCTTCCGAAGGGTGTTGAAGTTGGTAGTGGAGGAGGGAAAACAACCCCTGCAGACGCACGTGATCCAGAGCCTGCTGCCACTCTTCTTCCTCTCGCATGATGAGAACGAGCGCCTGGCAGATGTGAGGACTTTCTGGACTCTGGTGTCCCCGTGGGAGGGGGCCAGGCTGCCTCCTGCCCTGGCACCTCCTGGGCCCCAGCCTCCTCCTGGTCTTGGTGCGGGGACATGGGTCCTGTGCCCTGGGCCGTGGTGCCATGT